ACAGTCAGGGTGCAGGACAGTCAGGGTGCAGGACAGTCAGGGTGCAGAACAGTCAGGGTGCAGGACAGGGCGGTCAGGGTGCAGACTCTTCCTGACTCTGACATTTAGCACAGAGAGGGGGGTAGAAGACATACGGTGTCTCTAAGGAAGCTTTGTCTTTTGAGGGACAGTGGTTGGACACTACACCTGATAAGGACAAGAGGTGAAGAGCTGCTTTGTGTAATAGATCTATCTTTCCTCACGGCCTTGCATCTTTTCTCTCTGTAAGAATAAGGAGTCCATCTTTCAGACGAACATCGTGTTTTAAGGCCGACTGAGCGCTCAGGCGCAGCTGCCCCTAAATTCATTCAGCCATTTTAAACCTTTCATCTGGAAAAAATGAAACTTTGAAACGTATCTTCTATTTAAAGACGTCTATAGAAGCAGATGATTCATGCAGGCTATAACTGTCCCTTCACCAATTCTTTTTATTTGTTGTTTTGTGGTGACAGAGTTATCATTTGATTTATTTACATGTAAATGAAGCATTTTAAAGTCAAACGAAGGGTTAAATCAAATTAAAGGCTTCATTTGTACCTTCCTGCTGCGAGCAGGTCCAAGTCACGGCTCGTCCATCCAAACTGCAACAGAAACAAAGAAAATCTTTTGAACTGATTTTACTCAACATTCTGGATTTTAAAACTTTTTTATAAAGTTGAACTTTCTGAACTCAAAAGTTTTTATTTGTCGTGTTAGTAAAGTTGAAAACTTGAACTCTTCTTTAACAAAGCAACGATGAAAGGCTTTGAAAAGGAGTAACTAAACAGCTGAAGTTCTTCTTCGGCTGTGTTTTGTCTGAGCTTTCGGCTGCTCTGCAGTGGACCTCGCAGCTGCTCGTTGGCGTTGGGACGTACGGCGTGCATGAGCGGGCCCAGAGCCACGGCGCTGTCCACACAGCGTCCCGTCACCACGATGTGGGCGCCGCGGTCCAGGCAGCGGCGGATCGGCTCGGCCCTGAACACAGAGCAGGTCAGAACCACGGACCACTGGACCAACGGTTCTGTCCAGGACCGGGTCCGCACTTACCCCAGGTAGGCGTTCATGCTGTGCAGGGTCTTTGGCAGTGACTGTCGGTCCCCAGCGCCGTCGTCGGCCATTTTTACTTCAGACAGGAGATGCCTCTGGTGGAGACAAACAGCTAAAATCAGAGAAACCTGGTTTCAGCTGTCATACAAGCAGAAGGATGAAAGTTCTGCTGAAACGTGCCAAAGAAGCTGAACCTGAGCCAATTCATAACTGGCTGTAACTACCGTACCCACCACTGCACCCAGTATCCACTGGTTAACTGGTCACCATTAACTCCACACAGACTCTCTCACTGGTACATCTTCATCTTTAAATCTCTTCCTGGTCTGCTGCCTTCATACATCTCCTCCTACATGTCTCTGTGTGAGTGCAGCTACAGCGTGCGCTCTCAGGACATCATTACCTGCAGTGTTCCCTCAATGAGGACTGAACTAGACAAAAGGACCTTCTCCTCCTCCGCTCCTGTTTCCTGGAACATCTTGTAAAAAGATCTGAAGCTCTCGACCTTTGACCTCTCTAAGTGGCTTCAAACATCTGTTCAGTTCCTGCAGATGTTCCTGTTTGTAGTTTTATACATCGCCTTATAATCTGACTGGTGTTTTTTTTGGCTACTTTTTTCCTTTAGACTGTCGTTTTGGTTGCTATTTTATTTTAATTTGTAAAAAATAAAAAGTCTGTTTTCTAATCGTCTATGGTCGTTGTTGCCCCCTGCTGTCATCTCGCTCTTGTAGAGGACCGCGAGGCTCCATGCACTAACTGTACAAATAAAGGTTGAATGGAAAAACAGTAGCTAAAATCTATAAACAGTGACTAGCTAAAAGCCAAAAACAGCAAAACAGCTAAAATTTAAAAACAGTGGAACAGTAGCTAAAAGTTAAAAACAGCACAACAGTAGCTAAAATCTAAAAAGTGAGAGTAGCTAAAAGCTAAAAACAGCAAAACCATAGCTGAAATCTAAAAACAGTGGAACAGTAGCTCAAAGCTAAAAACAGCAAAGGAGTAGCTAAAAGCAGCAAAACAACAGCTAAAATCTAAAAATAGTGGAACAGTACCTAAATGATAAAAATAGCAAAACAGTAGCTAAAATCTAAAAACAGTGATACTAGCTGTAAGCTAAGATCACCACAACAGTAGCTGAAAGCTTAAATTAGCAGAAAAGTAGGCAACAGCTAAATAAGGATCACTAACTAAACACTAAGAACAGAGAAACAGTAGCTAAACGCTAAAACTAGCAAAGCATGTACGTCTGCTGAAAGCTTCAGATGAAGCTGATTTTTAAAATGCTCCAAGTTTTTATTTGTTATTTTAGGAGATCTCAACGCACATCTATGAGGAAAAACTAAAGTCTAACAATTCAAAAAATATAAAGTTATGAAGCCAGAAGTCTCGCCCATGCCGTCCTAAACAAGCCGAACGTTTATCTTCCTGAAAGCTGAACAAAAGCTGAGATTAAACACCGTACGGAAGAAACAAACGTGGGAACACTGCCTCAGCTCAGACAGGAAACAAACACAATGTGATGATGTCAGAGGAGGTGGGGTCTTACATGGGGCATGAGGTCATCGCCAGTCACCACGGCGACCTTTAGGTCCAGCCCAGCCTTTCTGACCACTTCCTGTATGGCAGCGGCGCAGCCCAGAGGATTGACGCCGCCGGCGTTGCTGACGACGCGGATACCTGGCAAGGACAGAGGTGAACGGAGTCTGTTGCCATGGAGACATGAGTTACCTGCCACGCCGTGCGCTCACCTTTCCTGTGGATGTCGTTAATGAACGGAGCCAGAGCCGCCTGGACGAAGTCCGGAGCGTAGCCCAGATCCTGCCGGGTTTAGAGGTTAGCGGCGCCGGTCAGCATGCGGTCAGCCTGCAGAGGGTGCTGCAGCTCCACCTGTCGGCCTGCAGGGAGGCGCTGCAGCTCCACCTGTCGGCCTGCAGGGGCGCGCTGCAGCTCCACCTGTCGGCCTGCAGGTGGTGCTGCAGCTTCACCTGTCGGTCTGCAGGGGGTGCTGCAGCTCCACCTGTCGGCCTGCAGGGGTGCAGCTGCACCCTGACCGTCCTGCACCCTGACTGTCCTGCACCCTGACCACTCTGCACCCTGACTGTCCTGCACCCTGACTGTCCTGCACCCTGACTGTCCTGCACCCTGACCACTCTGCACCCTGACCGC